CGACAATAAAGAGATGGATACGAAAATTCTCATTACGAAACAAAACCGGACACGATACAAACAATTGTTTATTCACATAACAACAAAATCAAAAGAAAAACAGTTTTAATGACAATGGATCACCTTTGCCCTTTAAAAAGATATATTCATTAAAATCGGAAATTTTCGTGTTTCATTTCATTTTTCTCTTTAATAACATTAATAAATACAATATCGCGACACTATAATTATAGTCCCATTATGATTCATTTCAATAAAGACGCAACCAATTCCTAGAAAATAAATTATTTTGAGTAAGTCGTTCCGCGTTCGAGGACGACCGCTAGTCCGCTACAGCAAGTTGACATTTCAAACGATAAAGAATAGATGGCGCCTCCTACCCGCCATCATAATATAACAATCAATATAATTCGAGTTTCACAAGGTCTACACCAGATGTCGACTATGTGAGTTTATAAAACCACCCTGAGATGTCGCAACGTTATTCAAAGTTCTACATCTCTTAACCTACCTCAAGTATGTATAAAAATAAACAAGTTCTAAAATAAAATTTTGACCAGCAGTAGGTTCAAGTTCAAACATTTTTTTTAATGAATTATGCGCTCATTCGCACACCCATCCGCAAAGAAAAATTCTAGAAAACATTATTAGTCACGCAATAATAAACATAAAAGTGGGAGCCAAGTCTTTGTTTAGTAGAAATTTTCCAAAATACGTATGAAATTAACTAAAGTCGTCATAAATTTAAGGGTGGTACATAATCTAATACCACGTCACTGTCGTCATAGTAGCATAAAAACATTTGATACTAAGAAAAGAACCCGTACAAAAATATTATAATTAGTGCTTTTCTCAGACTCGTGTAGGTTTGAGGTCAAAGAAAAACTCTGGGGCGATGATCGCCGGGCTTTATTCCCAATGAGAAAATAAAGTGAATACCTATATTTATTTTTTTACACGTGTGAAACGATCTTTATTTAAATCAACCTTCGCCTAAGTGAATAACACTCGGTGAGGTCATTTGCCACTATTCGACGTTATCATCAACGGTTCGCTGCACCCCGAAGGGTGGATTTTACATCCAACAAGTCTCGCCATCACCACACCACTTTCGTCTGGAGTGACATTACTGGATTTACACATATTGCACAATCTTTTTCCTAGATTGCACACGTACTGATAACGAACAAATGGTGATTTTTTCCTCAACTAGGTAGTTAAAATAAAAAAATTACAAAATCGCCTGGTGAAATAGGATAATGATCCCTACCAATAAAATTACCTATTTTGAACATAAGCAGAAACAGGAATTCCTTTTTAACCGATGCATGTATTATTTTATACAGGGGTGTCCCAGCGAGTTGAAAAAGTCCATTAGTGACCTTTAAATAGTAAAATTAAAAGACAAAAGTTTTTACGCTAAACTTTTATTAGTCGATTTCGTTTAGTTTTAGAAATAAGACGTTTTTTTTTTTTTTTGACGAAAACATCCACTTTTTCACAATTTATTACACAAAAACTAAGACAGCTAGAACAAATATTTTTTACTTCTTCAAAGAAGAAAGTACAGAATTTAAAGCTGCAGCAATTTTTTAGTGTTTTGCATTTGTAAAGATTAAAAAATGAAGAAGTTTGTTAAAAGTTAAATAACTTAAAAATTTTTAATGGAATACCCTATTTTTTAGTTTTGCATCTATTAAATTGATAAATTGTCTATCTAAAAAAATAATTACCACTACGACACTTCTCGTCACCTAAATGTTATAATTTATACGCCATTTGATACACAATTTTAACTGTTTTGTCGATTTTTTAATGTGTAATTTACATAATATTCTATAGTTTTCAATAGTTATAATACAATTAACAAAAAATGATGAAAAATCATTTTATAAAAAAACTCATGTAGTAATTTTTTTATAAGGTAACACAAAGTAATCTTTCCACCATGTACCTAATTATTAATAACATCTGTCCAACAGCCCTGATGATGAAATAATAAAATTTCGAAACGTCGGCTATTTAAGGAAAAGTTTTTTATTTGTTCTCAACTCATGATCCACTATATAAAAAAATAAACTTTTAATGTCCAGAATTAATAAATGAAAAGATATTTAAGATTCAATATTAATTGTACGAGTAGCAACAATGCCTATCAATATTTGAGCATTGTTGATACTATGACAACCATAGTAATTCCACCACATGGATCACTTATCCATTGATTTATCCAGAGATTGTAAAAGTCGTTATAAACACTGAAATTCGAATTATTTTATTGTAAAAATACAGAATAATGGATTCAGTTTAACACAAATGTGATTATTAAGTGATCCAACTCTTGTGCAACTGTGCACTTTGTGATGGCTACTGAAACAATAGTAATTATTTTTTTAATGTTTAACGTTAAATATCTTTTTAGTTATTGTCTTATTTTTAAAACTAAGCAAAATCGACCAATAAAAGTTTAGCTTAAAAACATTGTCATAAAAATCTACATCCAAAAACGGTAAAAAAACACAAGTTTGTATTGACAGGCTGTATAGTTATTTTAGGCGATGGATTAGTATCTAACAATGTCCTATATAATTTTTTTATTCTATCATTTAAATGTCACTAATGGACTTTTTCAACTCGCTGGGACAGCCTGTATGTATAGTAGCTACTAATACTAAAACCCATAAAAAACAAAAAAAAAATTGTACTATAGTTATTTTTTAGGAGTATTTTACTTATCAAAATATATGCATACTCGGCATATTCTATAAATGAAAATAGCGGTCACATAAATAATTTAAATAAATTTAACAATGGCCCAACAACATAGATAAATACAGGTCCTGAACCTTGCGGAGCTCCCTCTATATGTATTTTTATAGCATAGAATCATTATACAAATATTGATTTTAGTAATGACATTTATAAACCTTAAAACAAGTTCCGGTTTCACTAAGATGAACTTTTATTAGTAGCACGTCCTATTTACCTGTACACATTTCGCATTATACAATATTTATGAATTATAAAGAAACTTCATTTCTTGGACTAAATAGATTTCAAAATAGAAAAATGTTTTACTACAGTATAAACAAAGCTGTTTTGTTTTGTTTTTTGATCATTATCTCCGTAGCATCAAGTGAAAATTTAACATTTTTATCGCACACTGTTACTATTGCTGTTAAAATAAATTAGAAAAAACACACATCCTCTTTAAAAAAATAATCATGTCATAATTAGAAGAAATTTAATCTTATAAGACAGTACAAACATTTTATTTACTGCTTAAAGTCACTGTTGTTATTTATCTGATAAAAATAGGTAACATTTACCTGATACGAAGTAAACAACAAAATGAAATTCAAAGAAAACAAAAAAATTGCACAACACCCCCACTTGCCAAAATTCTATTTACTTGAAAATAAAATCGTATTAAGTTAAACATTTAAAAAAAATTTACCATTAAAGTTTGCCCTTCAAAGACATTTTTGAAAAAAATCTTACAAAATTAAAATAATTTAGTCTTGAATACAGTCTATTTCGATTTTGACATACATAATAATAAGTGTTCTAAAATGTTCGAATTGGCTTTGGAATTCAAAAACAGACTTAAAAGGTCACAAAGGATGCTACACAAAAAACTGTTATATATGTACGTAAATACGTGTTTTAAACGCTACAAACGAAACAATAGTCAATAAAATATTTATGAAGTAAACCTTTAGGTCAACATAACTTTTTTAAAATAATGACGAACCACAAACAGAGGTAATTGCAACCGAAATTAAAATACCGAATATTAATTAGGTTGTATTGATTTATCCTGACTCAATGATAAAAAAAACAAATCGAAATGCATTTCTAAAGTGGTCCAAGGTTGACAGCGGACGTATGTATATTCCTAGCGTTTAATAAGATTCGCAATAATCTAAAATATATCTGAAGGTATTTTTGGAATAATAGGGCAACGCATTTTAACTTATTTACGCCACTGCTCTTTGTCTGCTTGAAATTGGCAATCTCTCAAAAGTGGAGGGAAAAACATTGAACGCATGTGAATCACATGATACGAAAAACATCAACAATCAATTTTTTACCTAGTTACACTTTCAATTCCTTTTCAAAATTCAAGAAATATGTTTTCCGAATCAACGCAAAATAAATTCAAGAAAATCAAAACAGATTACTGCTTGACTTAGTCTTGAGAACTTGAGCCAAATTTGTGATAAAAATAATTATTCCATATTGAAATTTTCTTTGTTTTGTTTTGGTCTTTAATCCAACACAAATATCTAATTCGAAAAAAGAATTTTACCGTTCTTTACAATTCAGATCAATATTGACCATAATTTAGCTTGGAAACAACTAAAATGTATCCACGTGTACCACAAATTTCAAGAAAAACCATTACAAAAACATATATTTCTATTTTGCACTTTAACTGCAACCTTGTTTTATGTGAGTCGTTGCAGGGTCGAATTTTCAATAAATTAAATAGAAAAAAGTGTTTTAAGTATTTTATTGAGAACGATTGTAATGTAGTCAATTTTTGACGTAGATCAAGTGTATGTATTTTGTTAAATGTTACATAAAAAAAAATGTTTGCTGTACAATGATAATGATTTGCCAAATCATCTTCCTCATATTCATTACTACTATAATAGAAAATGATCTGATGATTCGTAAATTTTGATAAGGAATAAAACATTAAATCTCACCTCACACATTCCAATTTTTGCCACCACTTTTCACTTTTAAGTCGATAATAATAAACAATAATTGACGTAAATAATCATTAATGACGCAACAAAGGTTTAACCTTAACATCTTGTACATACTAGAAATGTTGTTATAATTATTCAGTCCCACATGTAAAGCTATTAGCTTAATCGCATTTATTTACTAATTAACAATTTGGTAACTGATTTTTTTTTTTATTAGTGTGACTCATAAGAGTTGTTTCTTCAGTTTTCGATAAGTTTATCTTAAGCTAGCGAACAAACCTCCTGCGTGAGTTCAAGTCCAACATCAAGGGGAGTTGAAGTGGCTTCACTGGAACTTGCAGCTAACGCGTTTTCCTCGTTTTGACTCTGAGCTGAATTAATAATGTCTGAAGAAACATCCTGTGTGGCTAAGGGGGCTGTGGCAGTAGTCCGTTCAATATTAAGCAAATAGGCAGTGACATCTGGATGTCTGTAACTGTCCCGGTTGTATCTTCCCAGTATATTTAAATCGGCGAATAATTCCCGTTCGTAATTTAGCAATACTGAATCAAGACTTTTCGGATGGACAAAATGTGAGCGCAAAACAGTAGGTGTTAGAGATCTCCAGCTAGTCCCATTATCATAATCATAATTTGGAGTGTTATTAAAGAGATCACTCTCTAAATACGGTCCACTGTTGCCTCTCAACAAACTCAAAATTAAGGCAATTTGCAAAAGTTCATCTCTGTACACTTTCTTGAGCGACAACATTTTCAAATCTAAAGTTTTTACACAACAGTTCACAACTTAACCTAAAAAATGTGAAAATCTAAAATAAAGTGTTCAGCTGCTTCCACACGCATTGTCACTGGAGTTTCTATCATATTCATCAAATTGAAAGCCTCTTGCAATGGTTTTGTCTCAAAAATCTCATCATAAATGCTTTTTTTTCAAATTTAGTGACAGTGCGATGACAATTGAATAGAATGACAGCTCAGTTTACTAGACCGGTCGTACGGTTTTATAACAAATTCTCTTTGACAGTTCACAATAATTCGGTCAATTGCACTTTTAACTTGAACAATATCGACTTAAGTCACTTAATTAACTCCACTTTAATTATATTGCACGGGGTAACATAACAACTTCACCTGCCTAACACAATCTTAGAACATCAATGTAGAAAATTTAGCGAATTGCTGCGCACTGCAACAAAAAAAGAGTGGGGCGGCGGAAAGTTTACGTACACTCGTACACTAAACCAGAATGAACATGCGATACTTATGCGATTTACAAAAACCGATCCAAACTTTTATATATAAATTATTCACTGAATAGTCATAAATAAACAACGTGATTTAAGCCAATATTTAATTATTTATAGCGAAAGTTGGAATAAACATAACAAATACCTAAACTCACCCTACAATAAATATATTGTTCTTGAATACTCATCAAGCTGCTGTAAACTACAATTTGGGGGCAATCCTTTCTCATTTCGACCCACACAAATCAAACCACTTTATTAATACATTTATCGGATAATAAAGAAACCAAAATCGCCGTCATTTGTATTAAAATAGACGAACTCAATTCATACTGCCGCACGTTGTTTCAACAGTTTAAATGACGTCACAAAATGTTTTTTTTATTTAAAACGTTGAAGACACCAATGTGGCCTTTGCCCTTAGTGTAGGAAACAGTTTTAATTCAAAGAGACAACAAAAAAAGTAAATGCAAACAATAGCGCACACATTTATTTCACAACTCCAAACAATTTTATTACTTATATTCATGTACGTTTAGCAAAGGGTGGTTCGGAGTTTGTCTCCAAAAAGTAAACACCTCGGGCCCTGGAACATAAAAATATCGTAGCTTTTAATAACATTTCTATAACATATTAAAAAAAGAAGTTCAAAATCCTAGCTATTTCAATTGAGATGTAAATACCGGATGACTGTAAATGAATGTGATTTTTATCCTCAAGTTGGTATCGCGGTATGTGTGGTACGTTTGACAGCAGACTCTAACCTCTTTTTGTGTCTCTATAATCCAAAATAAATGAATTAAACAAGATTTGCGACTTAAAATAAAACAGCCAGAATTAGAAATCAAAAAAACTATTACTTCGATACAATAAAAAGCGTTATAGTACATTACAAGCGAGGTGGTAAATATGGCATTACCCCGAGTGCTTATGTATAAAGCACAAGGAGGTTGTATGCTATTTTATTCACATTATTTTCAATCAAATTTGAGTAAAATAAAATTCTAACAAAACAAAGTTAAGATCCAAATGTAGTAGGGCGTTTGATTTTTGACATTTCAGAAATGTCAAAGAAAATATTAAAATAATGTGTGAATCTGATTTAAAATAGTCGAAATGGAGCAGTGTACTCCCCCAGAAGTAAGAGAAACTGCTACAAAAGCAATTAAATACTAATTTAGCAAAATATTATGCGTAACTTGACAATTTTGTATTTTTGTAATTTTAAGGTTGGCTATCCTGCATATTACCGCCCAAGAGAAGTAATACTACTTATGAGATTTTATGATGTGTTTCCCAACCTTTGAAAGGTTAGTAATCGGCATATTACATTAGTGATTGTGACTAAAATAATTGTTGTAACATACTGAATTGATAAGTAATGACCCATATGGACCGGTTCTTCCTCCAAACACGTGTAGTCGCCTCGAGAAATATTACAATGCCTTGCCTCAAAAGGATACTTGTTAATAACCGATTCGGTGTAAAATTCAACCGATCTTATATGACTACAAGAGACTAAAAGAATCAGTTATAAAAACGATTACCGAATTACCGCACTAACAACAAACCAACAGTTAACAGGTTAGTACACCCCGGTTGAGGTGAGGTTCCTTCATTTGGGTAAAAGTCGGCATCACCAATCGGTTTAGTTATCCCAAACTCGTCAGCGTCGGTATGAATAACATCGACGAAAAGAGCGTCGGTTTTATCAAGCGAGAGGGATTCGTCGCGTTCTTCTATCAATTCGAAAAGGGGGCCAGCAGGGTCCAGTCCTAAAAATAGGCAACTTCCGTTACTAGAACAAGAGTTTGAGGTGGTTTATACCCGTGATTCGCCTAACTCGTCCTCCGACATAAGCGCCAGCAATGCCTGAAATATGGGCACCTAGGCTGTGGCCGATTAAATGAACAGTTTTGAGGTCGATGAAATTTGATTCCAGAAGAGATAAAAATTCTCCAACGTATGTTCCAACAGGAACTGTATGGTTGACAGCGTCGAAGTAGATAAATGCCGCCAAACGGCTCCAATCCACCACGATAACATTAGAGTCTTCAGCGTTGTTCAATACTAAAGTTTCGGAAATTTCAAAAAATATTAGTATCAAAATTATTTAGCATGTACCCAGTCTCAACTGTGCGATAATTTCTCGATGTTTGTGATCTGTATACCCATGTATCACGAAATAAGTGTTTAAATTAGGATTGAAGTTTGACAGAGGTATAAGAGAGGGGTAACTAGAGGGTAGTATTTGAGCAATTTGTGGATTTTTTCTCGTATAGAGATTAAAAGTAACATCCTGACTAATATTTGGAACATCTGCAATCCCTAAAAAATAATTCACCGCGCCTTGAAACTGAAAAAACATTTTTTCTATTGTCACTTCTGACAAAATTTCAGCCAAATTGCCTACAAGTGACAAGAGTCAAATTTATTCGATGTAATAAAAAATATACCTATTGCCATTAATTGATATATGAGTAATTGCAAAATAAACATTCTGACACTTGTTTCAATTTAACCAAACACGTATTATACCAATCGAGTTTTTCTTTCACTTTGCTATTACAGTCATCACCCACACGACACATATTGTCTATTGTATCGTTATCATTTACTGATTTTAGAAAAGTTATCAAAACACCTTCGTCTTAATTTCAGGTAAAATAAAACAAAAAAATTATAATAATCTTTTATTAATAAACTATTTACAATCAGACAATGACTTAAGTAAGATCGCCTTAACATATCGTTTAGGTAGAGACAAATCATTTTCAATTAAATAGTAGGTATCTGAAGCCTCTTCATTGGGTAAGTCATTAACGTAACAATAGAATTCCGCCAATAACTTCAAAGCTAATTTTTTATCGCCCACCCAAGTTGACAATTTTGACAAATCGCATAAGTTAGCAAAACTAATTAAGATAGAAGATGAGTGAAATTTTGTCAACAAAGAAATAAATTTGCAAATTTCAAAAGCTGTTTGTTCATTTAACAACAAGTGGAAGGCCATCTTCATCACATTATATCTGTCACCGATTGAACTACTTTTATACAAATATATAAGAGTTGAGGCTAAATCAAATAAAATTTCATCATCCCCTATTGCGTCCACATATTTTTTAACACATTTAGTTAAAAATTGCGAATCCTTATTGGTCCTACTGCTGCAATGTGACAAAACAAAAACGTAAATAAACATTTTATAAATAGACTCAGTTTGAAAATCCTGTCTAATCCTAGTAATTAAATTATCACAATTCAGACCATGAACTGTCTCTGAACACAATAAAATGGTTTTTGCGTAAGACATAATTAGGAATTTACTACAATCCAATAATTTGCTCAATTTTAAAATTAGAATTTTCATTATTGGTGCAACGTTAATCTCGTTAATTCGGTCAACTAGAATTGATAATATACGAACTTGTAAAAATTCAGGTGTTTGACAAGAAATTCTTTCCAAAAAAATCGACAATCTGTTTTGATTAATATTTCGCATGATGTACGGTACATAATTATTTAGCCAAATGCGTTTTTCGTAATTAATTTCACTATTAAGAGATATCACGATTTCTTCCAATATTTCGTCAACTGTATGCAACCTTAAAGACAATAAATTAAAATAAAACGAATCAAATTGTTTTAAGTAAGTTGTTAAATTGCCTAAGGCTTTTTTAATAATAATTTCATCGGTTTGAATTAACACTAATTTGTATTTTTGATACAATTCCTGAAGAAGCTTAATCAAATTTGCCAAAACGTTTCTTGGCATCCTTTCAAACTTTCTTTGAATATAAAAAATGATCTCTGAAAAAACGCCCGAAATATTTTTAAAAGCGCACAACGAAGTAAATGCCTTAATTGCCAAAAAACCTAAATTGTTTGAATACTTTTGAATAATTTTAACAAATAAATGTCTAAACTTGTCAAAATCATCCTCAAGTGCGTCCCCAATAAACGAGTTATTTAAAATTTGCGATTCTGAGAAAAACAAAAGCGTTATAACGGCACTATCACTCAATTCATTTTGACACAAAATCTTGTAAAAGCAGGGGACAAGGGTTGGAAATAAAATAAATAAGTCTTGAATTGTCTTTGGTCGAATATTTTCGTCAAGGGAAACCCCTAAAAAGCGCTCAATCAACGACTTTAGCAACTGTAAATTGGCGTTTCTACAAAAAGAAATTAGTTTCTTGTAAATAGCTGAGAGTCAAATAACCTCACTATCCAGTTTGTTTTATTAAAAATTTGGATACAGTTTTGTATTATTACTGAGATGAACGGGAGTGTAAATTGGTGAATGGAATTATCCGAAACTAACATTTCTAGGCTGTGTAGAGATGAGGATAAAACGAAATCAGGCGATAATGGATTAGAAAGTACTTCAAGTAGAAAATTTAAAGATGAGACCAAGAACGGCTAAAATCAAGCGAATCTAAACTAAAATTTTAAATTAAATTTAATTTTACCTACCTTAGTTAGATTCTTATCCGAAAGACATAAAGCGTGAATGACGAGTCTCGTTTCCGGATTTCGTCTAATTTTTCCAGTTTGTTTATTATGATAAAGCGACTTCAATGTCCGGTCTAACAATTTTATTTTAATTTCTCTGTCCGCACTATTTTCCATAGTTGAGCCTAAAGTACGAATAGCGCCAACTGATAACGATACAGGTTTCTTCATGTTACTATCAATGATTATTTTAGAAAGGTTACTAAAAATACTCTCCTTATTAAATTTCGGCCAGTCATTCTTTGATGTTATCAAACATTCAATAATGTTCTACAAAATTTCACTTTTAATCGTAAAATGTTATTTAAAACATAATACTCACATTGATGAAAGCTTCCAAAATTTTCATTTCTTTGAGATTCAAATTAGTATCAAGTTTTTTATTTAAAATTTTCGCAACGAAACATAAGCTCCTGTCAATTACAAGCACCAGTTCGATATTATAATGGCTTTTAATTACAATAAACATGTCCAAAATTAGAACAGAAGTAAACATTTTTTCAAAATCAAATTTTTCCATCGTGTCATTAAAAATTGAGTATAACTTTTCTGTTTCACTTGAAAATGAATTTTTGTTTTTTAATTTTCGATAAGAAATAACCAAATCGGTATATAATCGAATTGTTTCACTACTTTGCAAATAAACTAACTGATTTATTTGAATCAAAAGTGTTACTAAATCGAAGTCACAATTTACAACATCAAAATAACGTTCTTTAATAACATTGCTTAATTTTGGACAAAAAAAAAATTTTTGCTCAAGAAGAAACGCAAACTTGTTGGTCAATTCCGGGTTTTTAAATCTAGCTTCCCAAAAGCCACTACTTTGTAATTTTTTAAAATATAAATTGCCTCCAACTTTGTAAATACAATCCAAATCAATTCTGTAACAGGTTACTAAATCGGCAGACGAACCGAACGCAATGTCCCATAAGATTTTCAGAAGTTGTGCTGAAACTTCGCAAGTTTCTGGATCAGAAATCCGAGATAAACAAAACTGGTAAATAAAATTCAAAAATTCAGAATGTAGGTTTAAATCTTTGTCAGTTTTGGCAAGAGTTAAATGAGAGACTATAAATATTTGCGAAATAAATATTTTTAGCGATTTTAAGACGTCGACTGGAAATTCAAACGAGGAGTAATTATTGAGGTAAAACTGTACCATTTCGATTACACTTTCTTCGGGATAATTTTTTTTCGATATAAAAGTGCAAATAATTCGAAGCGCAACTGAACTTGTTTTTTCCCAAGTAAAAAAATTCAAAATGTCTCGGTTAAACTCTGGCTTATAAAAACCTCTCTTTTTTATCTCTAATAAAATATGAGCTTTAAAATAAATATCAGTATCTTTGTTTCTTATAAAATTGTAAAACTCATCTTTGTAGTGTTTGACAGTTATCGGAATCCAGTATTTTAATAAACTTTGGTGAAACTCCCTGGAAGATGTTGTTTTGTTTTTTGTTGTTTTTTTTTTTTGATGTGTTAACTGTTAACTTACCCATTCTCAAATTCTTCGAAATAAGGGCAATAAAATGGCCATATTTTCGTTTGAAAATCTTCGAATGAACAGAAGCTTGTTATCATTTCGTAATAAAACGAGCCGTCGCGACTATCCGTGTTATTACGAAATAGTTTCAAAATTTGCTTGTTAATGAAATCGAAAAAAGGACGGACCTCTTTTTGTTTGAATTCTTTTAAAATATCGTTCAAATCGATGCCTTTAATTGGAAGGTTGTTAAAATTGCTCAAATAATTCTTACAATAATGCGGCAATGACCTTAATACAATTCTACTGACATTTTGAGCGTTATGTTTGAAACCAATCAGGGGACAATACGCCACTTTTGACATCATTTTTAAAACCAACAATGATAAAGTGGGAGTCAAGATATCGTCCCTTTTTTTCAAAATCATTTCTAGTAGTTTTACTAATTGTAAAGATTGAGGTCTGACAATAGAAATTGTGTCAAGAATTTCTTCCAAAATAAATTGAAGAAAAGTGATTGAAGCTGTAGACTGAGTAAATACGTCTTTTCGGTACTTTAATGAAATAAATAAAAGTATCTTAAATAGAAACTTTTCCCGTATAAAAACTTTAAAAGATTCTTTTTTATCCAACGATAAGACGATGTAGTTGTCATTTCTGAGGTTATGTAATATGTTAGAAAATTCATTATAAAAATTTATATCAAAAAGTTGTTGTTCCAAATGATATAGTAACTTTGAAATAGATTCTATATCTGTAAGGGTTTCAACAGGTAACTGTGCCAAGTATGTAAACAAGCTTATCACATCTTCACGTTTAATACATTTTTGGGAAATTTGCTACAATTGTATGAAATATAATAATAAGTAAATAATTAATTGATGCCACTTACCTCATTTATTGAAGTCTGAACAATTAACATCTTCTAAAAATGTTGTAAAGGATTTAATATTAACCAAGTTTAAAAACTTAAGGTTAGGCAAATCGCAAATGATATCAGATTTTTAGGTTAAGTTTTTCCCGCTAAACATCAATTTAAAAAAAAAATATTTCTTACTTTTCTTGAATAATGAATTAATAACGGAATTTGATTTTTTTCACATCAATTAGGTTAGATTTTTGAAAAATATACAATTCTGAATAAATGACCTAATAATTCTTTATTTCAACTATAACTTTGTGAAGTTAAAATCATATTTGATAGTTTCCAGGGTATTAAAAAACTACAATTTCAGAGCAACTATTTTTTATTTGGAATAAGTACATAATAATATACAGAATTTTTGTTAATAAAAAACGATGTCAAAGTATCAGTAGTATTTGCTTTGGGTTGGATATATTAGAAAATATTTTTTAAGACTATTCCACCCCAACCAAATTTTTCTGTTTAATAATATACATATAATACAAGCAATAAAACTAAAATATAATGACTAATTATAGTAATAACATAACCAAGCAAAACTGTGTAAACCTATGGAGGATAATAATGTTAAAAGCTCTAGGTAGGTAAACATTTAGTATTGCTTGAAATGTCTTACTATTTTTTTTTTTTAAATCTTATTGTTTTAATTTTTTGAAAATTAACAAAAACTTTATTCAATCAACAGAAACTAGAACTAAATCGTTTAATCCTACTAAGCTAACAATCACAGATCTGTATCAGGCTCTGTTCTCCAGCCCGTTTCCAATTTTACCTGCATGAGCACCATGAGAAACGCAATTTAAAGAAAACACATTTTTTTTATTGACAAGAACATTATCTTTACATCGGGATACAAATGAAAAGTCTACATAGCCAAACAACAACAGTGAATATGTAAAATTCAAAGCGGTATTTAAGGAAACGTGTGCTAAATTGTGAATACTGCATATATCTCGGTCTATTGCAATACCCCATATCGACCAAAAAAAAAAAAAACAGAATAAATATAGAAGTTTTTTTTGTCGATAAGGGGTACTCCCACAATTAAACTTGATATATTTATTTAAACTGGAAACAAATTGAGAAACGCTTTTTAAAACAAAACCTAAAAACTAAATGGCCAAAGCAATGGAATATATGAGAAACAAAATCAAATCATATTTTGACGTTTCCCATGTCAGTATTTTAAGGCAAAAGTTTTTCTTAGAAAAAAATACAATTAAAAACAACACGGTACTGGCCTAAGACAAAAAAAAATGTACAAAGTTCCTCTGGTACTAACACGAACTTGTTTTACATATCAAACATGGCCAATACACTACAGTTGCAAAGCTATGTGTTATACAAAAGCAATGGATAACATAAAGTTGTTAATAACACATGGCTAAAGCAACGAAGAAATGTTGTATCAATGCATTAATGAATAGCTAAAAAACAGAGAGGCTTCAATAATCATTCATCTAATCTAATAAGCAGTAACTCCAAGCTATTGCTTTCATTCATATTCCATCTGAAATAAGACAATACTCATAACAATTATTTACAAGAAATCATTAACAAGAATAAAAATTCCTTCTTATTGACTTCTAACAACTTAAACCCATAAATACAAAATGAAAAACGAAAACGAAACGAAATGAAAATGAACTAAACAAATTTAAAACTGTTTAACTTATGAACAAGTCATAGTCAGACCAATCTGACTCTTCGGAATCGGAAAAAAAATCAGCCAAATCTTCCAAATCTTCTGCTAGTGATTGCCATGGGTTTTCTCTTTCGTCCAAGAAATCCCACAAAATAACTTGCTGTAAATACTCATCTATTATACTGCACCAGTATAAAAACGTAAATTCTACCTGTAGGACTTCAATAGCAGCATTATCAAGACCCGCACCACGGCGTCTTTGACGCGGTGGCGGACCAACATCGCAAACCCGACCATCAGGAAACGCATGACGATAAAAGCACTTATTACCAAACGGGCATTTACCCACCCCTTTATCGAAATATTTGCAGTCTTTTGTCGATAAAGCAGACTTATAATCATCGATTAACTTATTCTTATCTTCTTTCGTATCGACCCAAAACAAGCTCGGACATACGAAATCAGACGTCACGCGGCATTCCGGACAAGCTCTACAACAAACAATAAATAAAAAATAAATCATCCATATACAGAGTAAGTCTTAACTTATACGCATCATTTTAGGGTATAAAAGTTTCTTAATCACCGAGATATACCTTGTTAAAAACACTGTTACTTTTGAAGTTTTAGATAATTTGGGCTGATAACACCAATGCTAATGAAGTGATATATTTTATTGATATTCGACAAAAATAAAAAAAGTTTTATTTAAGTTATTTTTCATTTTTTACTTTCCTTATTCTATAAGGAAATTAATAATTTGACCTACCCATATTTTTACATTTCTGGACGAATTATAGCTTCAAGAAATTTGGTATGTAAGTTACTTGAAGGAAGGGGACGCAGTACGAAAGATTTGGTAAAAATCGGTCGCACCGTTCGGCCGCAAAGACCAAATAATTAAAAAAGTGAGGTTAGGAAAGTAGTGTGTTGTTCATACCAGATTTTTTTTTTACCATTATTGATCATAACCTTTCGTTCCCTAAGTTTATGCGTATAAGTTAAGACTCATATGTATAGACTTCTGCGTAATTTCTTCAATAGCAATTGCTGTTAACAACCATTTGGGATAATTATAGTGCAAAATTCACTTACCTTATAATCTTATTCTCAAATTGCCTCGCTTGTCTCCACTTCCGGATACAGCTTAAGCAGAAGCAGTGGTTGCAATTGGGCAAAATTCCGAACCTCTGCTCGCCGTTGGCTTTTTCCATAATAACCTCAAAACAGATCCCGCAGCTTTTTTCCTTTGATCGAGCGATGGCAAAGGACAGTTCCATGTTCTTCTCATGTTGTTTAATGCAGTCTTGACGGTGCTTCTTTCTCAGTTCTTCATCATAAGGATGCAATGCAGCGTTTCCGCACAAATCACATATTTCTCCATGGAGATAGCTACATTCGCCTGGTGGATACTTGCAGAAGCCATCTTTGTTCGCGTAAGGGCAAAGTTGTTTTGTGCTGTTATTGTTTCCAACAGCACCAGTCGGGTTTGGGTTGACGGCAGCTGCGTAGCTCAAAGGCTTCGTGGCGATACTTTTTGGCACAAATTCTGGAGCGTTTACCCAAAGTGAGTCTTTCAATGGCGAACAAGCGGCTCCTTCGGCGTTGTTTATCATGGCCTCCTCCAATTTGCTGCAAATATTATGACGTTTACTCACAATATTTCTATTTACTAATTTTTTACTATAAAGTATACAAAATGCAAAAAAATCAAAACTGAATTATCAAATATAACTTTTTTCATAACTCATAACTGTGTCGTGAAATTTATGTGTTATATCTATATTTAATAAAAATTTAGCTTTTTACAAACTTGTTCTATATGATAATGAAATTTTAAATTGGAGTCTACTCGAAGTCCTAAGAATTTAAACAAAACTGACATTCTGTTTTATTTTCACTCAACATTAAATGATTTTTTTTCATCATTTCTACTTTTCTGAGATATGGTTTAAGAGTTTGGTTCACAAGTTTCCAGACAGCTTTAACTAGATTAGAAACTGCATTTAAATACGTCTCATAATTAGTAGGTTTTTTTCATTATCATGTTGCTGTTAGTCACCGAATAAATTCAAAATTGGTGTGGGGCTTTGAACTAGACTAATAAAAACTAAAGTTAGTTCAAAATCTATTACATTAACTGTTTTTTATTTAGTACGATTTTTTAGAGAAAAGTGATCGAGAATTTGATGACTCTAGTCATTCATAGAAGTTGCATTTTTCGCTTGCATTGTAAATTATTGTTTAGACCTTCAAACCTTAATTGCGTATTATTTACCTAATGATAAAAACCATTCGTATCATAAAAGAAAATGAGTCAATGAAAGTTTATTATTAATTAATTAACAAAATACATAATAAAGAGAAAGTAATAAGAGAAAAAATTGCGACTCACCCATTTTTGATATTTGAAGTGGCTAAAGCATAGATTGAAGACTCTGCCTGTATAGCCTTCTTGTCTTCGTTCTTATTAGCGTTTTGCAACTGAGTTGCAGAGGTAGATGGCGTATTTGTGCTAAAACATATATTTTTTTTAATAATCATATTCCCGGAATTGACAAACGGCACCTTGAGAGTTGGTTACTATTAGTATTTGGTACATTAAGCATGTTTACTGGTATTATTTCATGACGGAAACGACAGTTCCCAGCATGTGTGCAATATCCGCGCAAGAAGTAGCGGCAAAGCGGGGTGGACTTGACTCTTCCAATGACAAAACCCTCTCGCGGCTTGACTTGGACTACGTCGATGTGGTTCTTCCTTTTATGACTGAGGGAACAGCCTGGTCTCTTACATACATTCTTCTCGTAGTAACTAAAACAAACCGGTGTTATGATATTTGACCAACTAAATTGTTGTTATCAAGACAATGAAACTTAGCACCACTTTCTTCCCGCCAAGAATATTCTATGTGTCCCTATTAACGGTTTCAATAACTGACACACAAAAAACGTTTAACAACGGAAAATACTGTTAAAAGTAGACGTTTATTTAAAAAAATAAAAAAATACAACGATTAGCATTTTAAAATAAGTTCAAATGGAGTAACAGGAAAAGAAACAAATGTTTAGGTTATAAGTTCTACGTGATTAAACTCAACCAACAGAATTAGTTTAACATAAAGTAAATAACCATTTTAGTAAGTAAACACTACAAATAAGCGTTAAATTACTTACTCAAAGCAAAATTTTTGGGTGTCTGAGAAACCCTGATTGCTATCCGCCATATTGTCTAACTAAATGTCTTTCTGTTGAAAATTTATAATAAAATACAAAACGTGAACTTCACACATTCACGTGAAAGCAAATTTATAACACTAGCTAAAAGTTTTATCTCGTGTAAGTGTTTTATTCACAGTTTTTTACGAAATAAACACAAATTTTAAGAAAAACACGAGAGCAGGAACACACTTCCCTTGCATCCTCGAAATGAATGCAGTTGGCGCTGTTGTCTGAATTTCTTCAGCGCAGGCGTGTGTGAATTCACCCTTCTACTTTCAAAACAATAAAACAACCCCAAAAATTGTTAAAAATTCAGCAGTGAAAAATAATCCCACACTTTGAGTCACAAACTGAGTTTTATTTCTACACTAGCACTAACCAGACACAAAAAATATGCGTTGCTGCTGTTGCTAGGCGGTTCAAAATACCTAACGACTAGAAAAAAACGTTACACAGCAGGGATGCCACCCTATCGTTATCAAATTCACTGTTCGAATTTGTTTTGACGAAAAAAAAAATGTGTTTGAATATGACAGCGAAAAACTAGATTTCATTTACTAGTACCATATCAATAAAAAATATGTATGTACATTTAATTATGAAGAAATTGTTTATTTTTGCATTGACATCTGTTTGTTTTCTGTGTGATTGTTGCATTATTAAAATAATTCTTTCCTAAACTCTCAAATCGAAAAGGAATGAGCTTAGCACTAGCCCTTTTCTAGAACACTAGTAAATTGTATATTCTTCATTTAATTATTTATTTTTTTTACAAACAGACCGAAATGCCTTGAAATTCAGCACAGCTTATAGCTTATAATAAGTCAAAGGCAAATTTTAACTTTTAACTATTGAACAGACCCATATGTATAGTATATAGTAGTATACAAATAAATTAAAAAAATATTTTTTTTTGGAATACAAGTTTAATAGAGTAAAAAAATATCACTAAACAATACACTTTATATAAAAAGCTTTAATTCACGATCACATTACCAAAAACATAAGAATAATAAACGAGTAAAAAATTCGATAATAAAATAATGAATTGAATTGAATTAAAGTAAGTCCCCTTAAAATTGCATTTAACAAACATTTTTATCTAACTTTTTCGTATATTAAATTTGAGAATTTAAACATCAATATTTTAAATATAAAAATTTCTAATGGCAAATTTAAAATATGACTACAATAAGTGATGTGGAAAATAGTAGATTTTGAATAAAAATATATATCTTATCTACGTTTTAAACCAAAAACGTAGATGCACACGTGTGTTGTGTATAGTCACATTTTAAATAAGCAATTACGACATGTACAATCAAAAAAATGTTTGTAAAAATTGTCGTTAGGATAAAAATGTATTCTAACACAATAAAATGAATTACGAATGAATGTTTGCTTAAATATAAACACTTTTATAAATCCGATATAATAATCTATATGCACAATAGAAGTATGTACAAAAAAATATATAATAGTTAAGATACAAGTATGCACTGTTTTATATTAAACATAATTAAAATAGTAACGTACAAATCACTGGACGTGAAGACGATTCCACATAAATATAGTTCCGGCACAGAACACTATTTTACCATATACACGACTGATAGTAAATTGAAATGATCAGGCAATGCCACCCAATGCAATAAACTCAATTATTGCAAACTTAAACTATGTCAAACTTTAATACTGTTATCTAAAAAATTAAGATTAATAAAACTTAAATCACTATCATATATCAGTCGGATACATGTAGAATAAATGTCTATAAACTTCTACTTAAAACTAAGCTAACCGGACTGAACGAAAGTGCGCTATAGAAGTGCGCCACTGCGCGTATACATTGTCCATGTCACGTCCCATCAGCGTAGCGACTTAGCGAGGCACTCAGGAAGGAAACTAGCAGCCGCTGGAGGGTAAGTACGCTTCCAATCACAGTCACCTGATCGTGCGCCATATCACAGTATAACACGCTCATATGCAGCCACACATGTCATCATGTCATCATGTCATATGACATGTGTATGCACAATGCGCATGGAATCAGGGCGCCAAGGGTTGGGGCAGCAGGGGATCAGGTGACTGACGAGGTCAGCAAGCTGAAGTGTCTTCACCTCCAAGAGTATAAGCAACATTATCCAGCCTTTGTGACAAGTGTAAACGACGGCAGTTTATGTCATTGTTCAAAGCTTCAATTATCTAAAACAAACACATTCAAACAAACAAACAAAACTTGAGACAACTTACCGGTTCTCTATACTTCGTAACGTATATATAAAGCTCTTTGAGTGCAGCTACAGTGTCAAATTCGTCGGCTTGTTGCGCCGATAATTGTTGCATAGCTGAACCCATTTCTTGATCGGTTATAACTGGTAATGTTGCAACGTCATGATAAAACTGAGAAACCATCTCTCTATACCGTGGAATATCCTAAAAAGATAAATTAAAACAAGTGAAAAAATAAAAAATATCACCAGTAACTCACTTTAGCAAACAATAACTTATTGGATGGTGAATCTTTGCCTAATCTATGTTCGGTGGTTGAACATGAGTCCATAAAAGTCTGTGCAATAACCGATAAACACGAGTCCAACGTTGTCGTTTTATTAATGTCAAATATAAAATCGGGATTTTTTATAAAATTAACCCAAAATCTAAGAGGAAGACTATTTGATTTCCAAGCGTGAACAACTTCAGGATCTTGAATCCCATGCTTTCTTGCTGCTTCATCCAACAAATCAAATAACCATTTAACAGCTGGAGGTAATTGTTCATTTACTGTTAATATAGTCATAAAAAAATCATCAACAAATTTCTGAATCGTCCCTTTAGTTGATAAAAGTCGAGTCAAAAATATCTCCGGAATGGCTTTATGAGTCCTTTCGCCCAATTTATTATTAGGAAATTGATGATCGTCGATTGGTTTAACTAAATGATAGATTCTCGGATTGGTTCCAGTTTCAACATCACCATTTGTTGTAATAATCGGTGACTGTGAATTGTTAAAATACATACCAGCCACACCTAAAACAAAAATTTGATAAAATAAAGCAGCACAACAAATGTAAATCAACTCACAATTGTGACATGGTTGTTTACAATTATTAAAACTATCATTTTGACGCGAAATCAGTGACATAACTGCACTTTCTTTAACACCGTAATGAGCCAAAGTGTTTAATTTTTTCCACGAGCCTACTGTTTTTGTCGTCAAGTCCTCATCTTGTAAAGTTAAGTGACCACCTCGTCCATGCCGCCATTCCAAATCAACTTCATGAATGGATGGTCGCATCGAAAACGGTGTGTTTTTAAAGAGTGCATCTAATATTTTCGACTTGACTTGACTGATTGTATCACAGTCCAACACTTTACACTGAATTTTTTCATCTAAATCATCTTGCAAAATATGTAATGTCTGGAAAGTGGAAAGTGGAAAGTGTAACAAATCTAACACAATCATAAAATAACATACCACAACACTGTGTTCCACCTGTTCTCGCAATAATCTCTCTTCGGATAACGAGTAACGAGCATCGTGAGTGATTGCATCAACTAAACCTTTCTCAATTTGATGTTTAATCGCTTTGAATAGCAAAAATAACGAAGAACCGGCATATTCCTTTAAGTAATAGTACATACATAACGCCATCCAGTTGGTTAACATTTTTTCAACAACGCTTTCAGTTCGTCGTAACATAAGTTGTGGATGTTTTGTATTAACAGATTTATCAATAAGACGCAAAAGTAAACTTTTTAAAATATCAGTAGCATATTCCATCTTACCCATTAACACAACCATCAACAGTGATGCAACTGTGACCCTACAAAACAAAAAATAAGTAAAGTAAATCACTAGAGATTAGTGTAACATTTCATACTTGTCACGAATATTGAACGACTTTTGAGATTCTAAAATTTCGATAAAAACTAACACAAAATGTTTATTATTTATAAGTTGTTCAAATTGTAACATTGCCGAATCGTAATTAGTTCTTGGTGCATTAATTCGTACCTAAAACAATAAGTCAAGTCAAGTCAAGTCGAGTCATATAAAATAGTTACTTTAGGTGCGTTTAAAATTGGGTGATTGCTGACTCCTGGGAAAAACACCTTCATGATGTAACTAGTGTGGTCTAGAGTTGGTATTCCTGAATTTTCCAAATCAGCAGTAAGATCAGTCATATCTGTTTGAAGTTCGGCAAATGCTAAAAATTCTGATTCACGAAGATGTATCAAAGTAAATTGTCGTCTCTTACCTAATTTACATTCCGATCTTACATTACTTTCTAATGTATCCATTTGTATTTGAATACGTTTATATTCGCGTTCTGCTTGAGTAGATTTACGACGATAGACGAAAAGAACAGCAAAGAAAAACAACACAAATAGAACTGTTCCTGCTGCTATCATCGCTATTGCTTCGGGAGGAAAAGCGAAACTTTTATAAATGTCGTAACGTAGATAACCAAGTGGAAACCTCAAGTTACGTCCCACTCGAACAACGACAAGAGGAAGATTAGTCTCAGTCTGAAAATATAAATTATTCATGTAAATTAAATAATTTTTATAGAGAAGGAGGTACCTTTACTCCATTCTCATCTGTATCAAGTGGTTGTATTTCAGGTGGTGAGCAAACAAGTTGACTCATAGCTAGTCCAGTGACATTACACGGTTTCGTTCCTATTGTAACAACAACATCAGTTTCATCACTAGCCATATTTAAGTTTTCGCCTTCTATTACTAAAGTATCACCCTTGTAAAGCTTTATCTGATTTGGGAATTTAAAAAATTTCGGATCTTCTACGTATAACAACTGACTTCTTAAGTTAGGAAAATGCTTATCTAAATTTTTAACAGACTGTACATTATCCATTATAAAACCAATTTTTACTACAAGCTGTGCTTCTGGCATCTGTAATGTAACCAATAATCCAATTATAAGTAGGTATCGCAAAATGAGAAAAAAACCAGATACGTACTTTAATAGCCGACGGTTGTCTAAGTGATCTTCTTCTAACCTTAGTGCTAGCTAAAAGAAACTGTCGATTGACTGAAGGACTCGGACATTCAATCTGGGTTGCACTTAAGACAGTACATGAAGTTTTATTAATAGGAACCGACGGTTCGGTATCCGAGTAAACTTCCATTTCTGGCGCTTGAATGCTACTCAAATTAGTGCCATGAACGAATATCATTCTTCCTCCAGACACAAAACTTTTCAGCGGTTTAATTTCCATAATCGTCGGATCTTGGGTGTAATTAAACGGATTACCTTCTAAAGTACGAATCGCGCCATCTATACTTAAAATTAGTTTTCCTATATTAACCGGATCATGCGCTCGTGATGTGATACACGTTAAACGTCCGCTCGATGCTTGAGTTAAATTAACTTGACAAACGTAATCATCTAAATATGCAGTTATTTCTGAACCAATATTAAGATATTGTCCTCTAATTGCTAATTGAGTACCGCCAGATAGCGGACCTTTCGTCGGATCAATCCCAAATAATTTAATATCTTTATAACTAAACTCTACCGATGATTTTGTAAAACCAGCCAAGTTTCCTACTATTATTGGTGCCGTCTTTTCGACTTTTGACGGACCTGTCACACACTGAATTTTCACCGAAACTTCGTAATTAACAAGCTCACAAGGGACGTCCCCTATGTTTATCTTCCCTTGAACGTCTTCTTTCTTCAAACCCAAATTGCTACCTTCAATCGTTACCAACGTTCCGCCCTCTATCGGACCACTCAGTGGCTTTATCTACAAGCAAAAAAACAAACCACAATTAAAACAAAAATAATAGTATATTATGATACCGAGTTTTATAAGAAGCATTTTGTCACACGCACGTATTTATAAATAAAGCAGTAAGTGCGACAAAATGCCTTATAAACGAGATATCATACAGTATTTTTTCTACTTTGCACTTTTTTAAACAAAAAATTAAAACTGGCAAAACCTACCTAAATCATAATGTTAATTTTGAATATTTTTTGCGATTATTAATTAAACCAAACAGCAAAAATTTCGTATTTGAATAATTTCATTTGCCTTAGGCCGATTGACACAGACAATTGGATGGAAAAACCGTTAGGTTGCCAACAATATAAGACTAATTTCCCTCTTTTTAGTATAATTTTATAGCACTGTTTTTGTTCATTACAAAACCCAAAACAGTTTTGTAAGAACGCAAAGTAGAAAAAATATAATAAAAAAAAACAAAACATGGAAATTGTTTTGTTGAAAATCAACTTATTTCTCTTATTGTTTTTTTTTTTTAATTTTAAGAAAATTTCTGTCAGAACAAAATAATTTTGCTATTAAATAAAATAAGAAAAAAACTTAGAGTTGTTTTTTGTCTCAAAAGCATTAGAAAATTTGTGTTTATTACCATGTCTATTCGAGGTTTTGGGCATTTGATGTGTGCTATTTGTTTACAAGTTTCGCTATAGGTGCAAGTGTTTCCACACCAGGTGCATTGGTATTTCGAGTTTCTAGTGACACATAATGAACAGTCGGCGTGTTCGCGATGCGATCCCAATATATCACATTTATATAATTTGACTGTCATTGAGTCAATGTGATGATTTCTGTTCCAAACAACTGTCACGTTAGCTTCGTACTCCCCTTCATTGGCTTCGTACGAATACTAAAACATAATTTCATTAAAAACAAACAAAAAATGATAAAAATTTAGCCAAACTCACTGTTGTGTTATCACAAACAACATGTTTATTACTATTATTGTATGTTACTCGAGCAGGCACCAACATTGTAGCACCTTCAATAATTATAATACATTGAAAACCGGAGTGGGCAGCTTGAGGATGTGGTAAATTTTTAACTTCGAAAACCATTTGTTTCGGTACGTTCGTTGGTAATAAAATGACGTCTCGTCTTCGAAATTGTGGACAATATTCGAAACCATGATTTGCCAAATGTATGGGATTCTAAAAGCAAAAAAAAAGAAGAAAACGATAGGATCGTGTTGTAGATTAACTAAACTGACATTTTCACCGCTAATGATGTTGCGTTGACAGACTGAAGTATTGTGTGTACACTTATTTTCATAGACACACCAATTGCACGCCCACTGTGACTTAACACATTGCATACACGTCGTGTGTCTCGAACAGTCGTAATAGGCAAAATTTCTCGATACAAAATCTTTGTTTGTTTCCGACGATCGAACGCTGAGAGGTACGAGAACGTGGTCTTTTTGTGGTGGAATTTGTGGACGTCTTGAGACATCAGGAGTTGGACATGAGAGTCCGAATTCTGTCACGACTGCATCTATAGGTTCCGCGGAACCAAACACACACTTATATTTAGCACCATATGGAAGTTCTGGAAGAGTTTTTATTGTAAGACGGACGGTAGTCATTTGATTAATCGGAATTCGTTCCGGTAAAACTTGTTCAAAGTCTATACACTGTTGCCCTGTACCCAACGATAACCAACGCGGAGGGCTATGAGAGGCCTTCAGACATGCACTTCGAACAGTGCACCTACAATTACAATTACAATTACTACTTAATAATGCTCCTGGAAAAAAAAAAGAACGTAATTAAAACCTACTTCTTTTCTAGTGAACACCACCCGCAATAAGGGTCTTTTGATTCTAAACAAGCTGAACAGTTGTTGTAGCTGCTGCAGTGCTCAACGTTAATCTTTGATATCTAGAATTATTTTTACACTTAAAAACTGTTTGAAGCTTTTGATTGATTCATTACCTTTGATGTTGAGAGGACATAGAGGTAATCTCCTGAAGTCGAGAGGGTCGTATCAGGTAATATCGCGTTACCTTCATCGACAACAACTTCCTCATATTCTGTAGGAACAGGACCTGATAAAAGTACTTTTTTCAATTTCCCATCAGTAGTTCCAAGGAACGCTAATACATGTCTTCCCGTTGATGCGGTAGCAACAGCCGATAAAGAAACATTAGGAAACACAAGTGCTGCATTTGTTACTATAGGTGTAACTCCACTAAGTTTTAGACCGACTTCACAAAAATTCGGAATATTTCCAGCCGATCCACTACTCGGGCATTTACCATCTAAAATAGGCCCCGAAACATATCCCATATTCCTATATTTGACGCTTCCGTTAAAACACATGTGAATATTTTCAATGAATTTGGCTTCAATATCTCGCAAGGGATAGAGACAGAGGGCTGAGTGTGGTTGGGGTTCGTTGGTAATTCCACGCGCGGGTCGAAAAACAGCAATCAAAATTGGGGTTCCAACTGTAATTCCGAGTGAGTTGGCTAATTCGTCCCCTGCAGTCGCAATTTTAGCATCTTGAACAAGATTATACTTTTGATCACCGTCAACACATTGCAGTGTAACTTCAGTATAACTGTCATAATTAGCATCGTTTATGCAAGTCCTCGATAATCGCGATACGTAACCTTGTTCTTCTTGACCGGGAAGATGCGATTGTTTTTGAACAATAACAAAGTAAGCGTAATCGCTAGCATTAAATCCGTAAACGTATTGTACAATAAAATGATCTCTGTATTTGACATCAATGCTAACATGCGATTGTTTGTTGAAAGAGTATTCAGCGATGGCTAAATTGTCCAAATCCCTACTAGCAATGGCTGGTACGTCATGTCGAAACTCGCCATTGTTAGTAAAGGTGGTCCCTACGTACATTATATTCGATCGCCCCCACAAATTATAACTTTCAGGTCCGATATAGGCATAAGTAGAAGCATTCGCATCGTTCGCAGCTACAGCTTGCGGAATAAACTCCGGTTCCGCACTAATGTTGTTCAGTTTATATTTGTAGCACGCACCTTGAAAAATAGACCCGCACGATATAAGAGTCCTCGATTCCGGTTCGATCAAAAGAATCTTGTTGTAGTTTTCAGTCAACGTGAGAGGTATATCGGGATTGTGACAGCCAACCGCGTGACATGACGGACTGTCATTCTTCGGACCGGTCACCACTGAATATTCCAACTTGAGATCGGCGTCAAGTTGAAGAAGGCGGTTTGTACCAGCGGCGAAAATCTTCTTCGTTTGGTGGTCGATCGCCAAATGGGAAAAGTGCATCGGTGGATCGGCGGGGCCCGGGTATTGCGCCAGAAGCACGCCTCCGGAGACGCGACCCCACAGCCCCGCCAAAAGCAGCAGCCAGAGGCCTGCCACGATTTTGGCCCCTTTATCCACCGCCGACCCAGCGACCACCACCTTCACCACCATGAAGACGACAACGACGACGACGACGACGACACCGACCACTGCATTCTGCGGCCGGCCGCTAACTCGACGCCCCACCGCATCACTGAAACAAATCAAAAATCTAGATTACATATACAGGGGTGACCCAGGGGTGACCCACAAAAAAATTCATAACGTCAAAACTATTCAAGATAATTTAACCAACTTTTTTCCTGTTGATTCCTTAAGCTTTAGCGCGTCTTCTGAGATAAAGACAAACTCGGAGTCGATGTTCCATCGCGTACTACGATTTTTTGAAAATGACAAAATACAAATGGCAATAACTCGACTATTTTAAATACAACACTCTATATTTTATTGCATCATTGCATGGCATTTTTTATTAGCTCTTTGTCGATATAGGATTCATAGGGTCTACTTTGTAAAATTTATGAGATTTTTGCAAAATAAGTAATGTTGATGGTTTTATTCTGAAAAAAAAATCGAGTAGGCCATTATCGTTTGACACATCTATGCAATTCTGAAACAAATGTGTTTCAATAAAATGAAATTGTAATAGAAACAGAAGTACATCACAATAAAGGAAACAATCTTAGTAATCTTTACAAAAATAGGAAAGAATGATTAAAAGAAAACAATGTAAAAATTTTGAGAAAAGGTTACTTATAAAAACTGCTCAAATAGGTCATGTTCCAGCAAGTCTTTTAGTAAATGAGCTCCGAACTCTAGCAAGCATTGCTCCATCAACTGAATGGAAGGCTTTCGTGATCCTGTGTTTCATATCATCTGCAGTTGTTGGACGATCTCTGAAAACTCTTTCTTAAGAAAAAAATCGATGGGAGTAAGGTATGGAGATCGTGCGGGCCTGGGAATAGTTCCTCCTCTGCCTATCGAACGATTAGGATAGGATATTTCTGACGGTACATTTTGCTTGCTAATAAAGGATTTCTGTGCTCTTCACCAATACAGTAAACCATATTCACTAATTCTTCACGAGTGAAATTTATCATTGACAATTAGATGTGTACAATTATTAAAAGTACACGAAAGTGTCAAATTTTAAGACAGCAGCCTACTCGATTCCTTTTTTTTTTTTAGAAAAAAAACCATCAACATTTCTTATTTTGCAAAAATCGTACAAATTTTACAAAGTAAACCCCATAAACCCTACATCGACAAAAAGCTCATAAAAAATGCCATGTAATGATACAACAAAATATATAGTGTTGTATTTAAAAAAATCGAGTTATTGCCATTTGTATTTTGTCATTAAAAAAAAATCGTAGTAGGCGATGGAACATCGACTCCGAGTTTGCCTTTTTCTCAAAAGATGTGCTAAAGCTTAAGGAATCGACTGGAAAAAAATTGGTTAAATTGTCTTGAATAGTTTTGAAGTTATGAATTTTTTTGTGAGTCCTATGCACGATGCAATTTTGACACATAAATTATATAAAGTCAAAAACTATTGCAGGTAAGTCTAAGAAACCAAGGTGCGTTATATTGACAATTTAGTGGCGAATCCAGATATCTAATAAAAAATTGTGGTTTTCATTAAAAAAAACGGAACTTAGTTTTGTATCTTATTTGGGACACTCTGTATATGAATAGAAATATTTTTATAATGAGCCTCATTGTTAGATCTATCGTTTAAAAAAAAATCATGTCGATAACTTGGATAGAAAAAAAGTTATAGAGCGTGCACGAACCCCTGGGTCACCCTGTATATACTAAGAGTTAATATAACGCTTTTCAAACGGCAAAACTATGCTTTTATGTTTTTTATTTAATCCTAATAAGCCTTATAATAAAATCCGAGATTGACAAATTGTATTAAACTAGAAAAAAGCTACATTTTTATTGGTAGTATTTTTTACATACGTTCTAAGTAAATATAAAATACAAGTTTATCTTAATTGTTAACTACATTATTAAATTCTTCGTCTATTAACCAATATTATTTTATCAAAAAATGAGACCCAAAATGTATCACTCGTTTTTGGCTAAACCTCTTAATTTCAGACATTCCCTATTCGGACCCTGTATTCCCTTATTTAGCATACTTATGTACATAACATTAAAAAAAAGCCGAGATTTGTGAGACCAATATAATCAATAATTGCCGTTTCCACTAGTGATGAGAAAATACAAATAATTTCCTAGAACTCAAACTGAAGAAAAAGCTAATAATTCCTTGCACTCACTTTATTATATTTTTATATGTTTAAAATTTCGTAAGATCATTACATCTATAACTTAGATATCTTAGATACCCATGACTGAACGTTTAGAGCATAAATTATAACTGATTTGAAGTACACTCAGAAAATTAGAAAATGTCGTCAGCCTCAACATTTCTTTTAAGTAAATCTTGTCATGGGATATTAATTCATTAATAATAATTATTATAATTAATCGTGTATAAAGTGTGTTGTTATACGGTATGTCCCCGGATTAGGTTTACAAGAAGAAAAAAATTCTAATCTTTGATTTTACGCCAAAAACATTTTTTGCTTCACCTGAAACGAGCAAATCTGTAATTAAAACGTCATTATTCTGTCTGAGTAAAAAAAAAGTAAATTTTCTCTTGATCTTCAAGTCCCATCACAATTGCGGTTTTACTTTTGTGATAAAAATATAACTTTGACAATTAATTAATTAATTATCGCGTTGAAAAGTAATTAATATTTAGTTGTAATGAGATCCGAGAACATATCGTACACACTTTACACACGTTTAATTGTAATAATTATTATTAATGAAATAATATCCCATCACAAGATTTACTTAAAAGAAATGTTAAGGCTAAATGCAAAAGCATTATTATTATTATTGTTATAACTGCGGTTAGGTAGTAGGACCCAAATAATGAGGATCGGTTTATGGAGACATTTTCTAATTTTCGGAGTGTACATACATGAAACCGCCAGTATTGTAATTTACTTGAAAATAAACCGACGCAGACGGCAAATTTTGTTTTTCCCAGTGATTCCTCCCTTCAGTGAATGTCGAAAGAAAATTCAATATAAACGCAAGTAAAGATTATTAGGTTTGAAAAATTTATATCAGGTGGTCACGAGCGATGAATAAATATTTTTGTAGTTAAAGATAAACAGGAGAAAAGTAAGTATCTAACACTGTCAGGTATCGCATTTTGGTATCGTTTGTTTGTTGGAAAGAAAGCGTTCACAAATTGAAGTTGATGTGTGTAAAGAATGAGAAAGCTCAGTAAACTGACGAGTTATAGTCCAGAAATAAACATTTTTAATCTAATTGTTGAATTATTCTCTCGTGGAGAATGGAAAAAGCTGTTTCGGGCTCGGTGATTTTAGTATTCGAAAATTGGGATTAATTGAAAAAAATTAAGCAGTCGAAATGCGAATCTCACCCTGTCTTTAAATTATTACGTTCGCTGACTTTGCCCAGGCTGAAAAAATAAAGCATCACTTGCAATCCGGTTCGTAGTTATGTGAGAAATTTAAATATAATTAAAAATTTGAAGCAAATCCTATTAACGTTGCTTTATTGTGTATAAAGTTAAAAATAAATTGATGTCACATATACTGACAAAGATAATATCAGTTATAATGAGTTTTGCTATAAAGCCGCTTGTATTAGCTGGTGGCATTTTATTAAACTTTGTTGTATTTTTGTGTAAGAATAAAAGTGCACAACTTAGGGGCTTATAATCGGAAAATAATCAATTTGTATAGAGTAATCCGAAGATAAATATGGGGTTGAAAGTTTGCGAAAGAAAATGAAAAGCAACTTATTCGCGTCATCACACTTTTGCAAATTTGCTTTAATTTGCTTTGTTTGATACAACCTGTTTTACGTTAAGAGTGATCAAATGACTTAAAATAAATTATATAAATAAGCATTAACAAGGCGAATTCTCTAGAGACATTTGCCAAGTGAAGATCTTTTGATGTAAGAAGTTTTAGAGGGTGGAGGAAGTGAGAGAGTGTTTCATTGAAACGCATATACGCGACGATGATTGATCTTGGCTCTTGGTTTTGCTCAGAGCTCAGCTCAGCTCAGACTAGCGTGCCGTCACTTTAATATCAAAACAAGCTCCTAGTAGAAGTGGACCTCTAGTAGTCCTACTATTAATAGAATAAAAACACACCACCGAACGTAGGATAATCAATATATTACACGGAGAATACTATCTACTTATGACTTAATCTGTTATGTGCCACAACAAATCGGGACTAAAATAAACGCAACTTCGTGTTTGTGTTGCATGTATTTCGAGTGAGAAATGAACCATCCGGTAATCAAAAAAAAT